TGTCTTTTATAAAATTACCAAATATTCAAAATGATCATAATAACACTGATTGTGTAAAAAAAAAAAAAAAAAAAAATCATGACCAACACTTTACCACTTTCCAAAAGTAGCAAACTAAGCCATTGGCTATTTCAGGTTTAGGTCATTTTAAAACGTAACAAAATAATATGCATGCAGAAGGCACACCCTTTGTATCCCCTTCATTTCTTTCCTTCCTGTCCCTAAATAGTACCTACCCCTGTTGCTGTTGCTACTGCAATCCCAGGGAGCACACATTTGACTGTCTTTTCACCCCAACTTTTCCATCAGATGTATCAACATTATGGAACTCATACACCAAACAGATGATTTAGAATCACTTCTGCTGGGAATGACAGTGAAATCCAAAGTATAGCTCTTCTTTTTTAGCCTGCTTCTGTCCGTATACTCAGTCACCATCCATGGAAATCTGCTCTATCATTCTGGCTGGAGAATCTGACTCCCACCTCCACACTCCCATGTATTTCTTTCTTTCCAATCTGTGTTTTACTGGCATGTGTTTCATCCCTACCACCATTCAAAAGATGCTGGTACAGATACTGACACAGATCAAATCCGTCATCACTTACACAGGCTGCCTCACTCGGGTCTGCTTTGTCTTAATTTTTGGAAGTTTCAAAAATTGTCTCCTAGAGTAATGGCCTGAAGACAATTAAAACAAGCTCACGAGAGCCAATATATGACCTTGATTATGCCCCACCTGAATTTAAACATCATCTGAAGGATAGACTTGATGCCTTGAACACGAATGACCAAAAACCAGATGATTTGTGGGATGACATCACACATGAAGAATGCAAACGGACATTAGAAAGGCAAGAAACGAAGAAAAGACCAAAATGGATGTCAGAACAGAAAGTTGTTCTTAAACAGAGAGCAGCTAAAGCAAATGGGAGATATGATGAAGTAAAAGAGCTGCACAGAAGATTTCAAAGAGCAGCTTGGGAAGACAAAGCCAATTGTTATAATGAAATGTGCAAAGACCTGGAGTTAGAAAACCAAAAGGGAAGAGAACACTTGGCATTTCTCAAGCTGAAAGAACTTAAGGAAAAACTCCAGCCTTGAGTTGCAACATTGAAAGATTCTACAGGCACAATACTGAATGATTCAGAAACATCAAAGGAAGATGGAAGGAATACACCAAGTCACTGTACGAGAGAGAATTGATCAATGTTCAGCTATTTCAGGAGGTAACATATGATCAAGAATGAATGGTATTGGAAGAAGAAATCCAATCTTCACTAAAGGAACTGGCAAAACACAAGTCTCCAAGAATTGATGGAATACTGATTCAGATGTTTCAACATATGGATGCCGCACTGGAGGCACTTACTGTATGCCAAGAAATTTGGAAGACAGCTGCCTGGCTAACTGAATAGATCTATTTTTGTGCCCATTCCACAAAAAGGTCATCAAATAGAATGTGAAAATCATCAAACATTATCATTAATAATACATGCAAAATGGTTGCAGCAGTATATTGACAGGGAACTTCCAGAAATGCAAACTGAATTCAGAAAAGGATATGGAATGGGGGATTTCATTACTGATGTCGATGGGTCTTGGCAAAAAGTAAAGAATACCAGAAAGATGATTACGTGTGATTTGCTGACTATTCAAGGGCATTCAACTGTGTGGATCATAAGAAATCATGGATAACATTGTGAAGAATGGGAATTCCAGAACACTGTGCTCATGAGTAAACTGTACATAGATCAATAGGCTGTCCTTTGACCACAACAAGGGCATACTGCATGGTTTAAAACCATGAAGCATGTGTGTCAGATTTGTATCCTTTCACCACATTTATTCAGTCTGTAGTTGAGCATATGATCTGAAAATCTGGATTATATGATGAAGAACAGGCATTAGGATTAAGGAAGACTCATTAACAGCCTGCAGTAAGTACACAAATGACACAACTTTGATTGCTTGCTGGTAGTATTGAGACTGTTACAAATCCAGCCACTGGGCTGACTTGTAATTTTGGTGATTACCTCCATGGAGGTTTTACTGAAACTAGCAAGAATTATATGCAACATTATATGTTTGCAGATTTTGTTTTATTTTAATAGTTTCAGAAAAACTGAACTTGTATTTTTTTATGTCTCTGGTGTTTCTGTGTTTGTGGTGCAGTGAATTGCTTATTATGGCTTTTCTAGCCATAGTCTTTGTAACTCCCATTGGATTACTGGGTGGGCCCATACAAGTAAGGTACATGGAACTCTAATATTGGGATTGGTTAGTTTTGTCACTCAGCCAAGTTTAAAATGAGTCCTCCTAGAGGCAGAGAGGGTGTCTCACTACCATCAAGAGAGAAGTGCTGGAGGTAAAGTAGAATGAGTGTTGTACCTGAGATCCCTGCACTGGACCTACTTGGCAGAGACACTGGCAGGGAGACATGACCCAGCAGAGACACCTTGTCAGATAGAGGTGGTTGCAGTGGAACCAAAAGGCATGAAACAGAGTGACAGGTTTACCTGGCCTACAGGGGGCGGACGGAAATTGAGTGCCTTTGGGAAGGAGGCTTGCTGATGGAGTGGGGTGAACCTAGTGTATCTATCTGCAGAGCTAAAAGCACTTAGTAACACTTGCCCAAGTGGGGCAGAGGAGAAGCATGTCTGAGACAAAGCAGAGGGAAAATTGTCCTGATCAAAAAATTGTGTCCTGAGCACATTCCTGAACCTGTTATTTTCCTAATAAACCCCATAATCATTAGTATTGTCTGGGAGTTCTGTGTGGTCATTGCAATGAATCATCGAATCCAGCAGAGAAGTAGTGAGTGTTGTGGGAGGGAAGGTACATGTCAGAATTGGTTAAAAGGGTGGAGGATGGCAGCATGTCTGGCCTCATAGGAATAAGCCTTGGGTTGTTGATGGTGATTCTGTCTTCCTATTGTGAAGTTAGAGGAGGTCAGAAGATATTGCTTCCATGTCTTTTTGCAATGGTGAAAGTTTCTTTTCTTTTCTTTTTGAGACTAGCTACATTTTTTTATGTTTTATCTATTATTTCATATCTTTAAAGTGAAAGATGTTAAGATGACAAAGGGTGGCATCACAATGTCATTTTGTCTCAAGTTGGTTTTAAAATAATATATAGATAAAATTGTATATTAAAATTTTATATAGAAATTATTGGATGTGCTAAAATAAATGGATGGGCCCATGAAAATAGTGAACTGATTCAACAGTGTTTAAATGAATACTAAATTGGAGCACCACCGTCATGAAAATAATGACTGTTATCTCTCTAAATCTTTTCAGAATATGCAGAAACCTGCATACTAGTCCCTAGCAATAGCACTGAATTCTCACAGCTCTATTAAAAATCAAGAGCCAAAATATCAACCTCCTTCCACTAATATGAATAAAATTGTATATAGAATACACACACAAAATACAAACTGTTGTGATGAAATTGGATACTCTGACTTGGAACCCTATAAAAGGATTAACAGGTCTATGTACAATTATCACAGACAGAGTGGATCAGAGAATAGCTTAGAATATATGTTCTATATCATATATGCACAATGAAGATTCAGGGAACAATTGACTCTTAGAAAGAAACATCATTTTATATTAAATATTTGAATTTTACAACATCTTGGCTATATTTCAGAATATTATATCCATATGCAAAAAGCTATATCTTCACACCTAAAATAGGAATCAAGCTTCCTAATGCATTTGGGGAGATAAAGTTGCTTTCAGTTGTAATTTTAAACAGAATAAAAGAATGCAGTTACAGAAGGATAGTGTTCACATGTAAAGGTGTGTAACATAGGGGTGAGGAGAAACAGATGAAGAGAGGTGAATGGCATGCAGCAGTCTTTGCAGGGTCAAGAAATCAGCCATCATGAATTTCATTTTTTGAAGTCTTGGTCTTTAAGGATTTGCACTGCCCCTGGGGTTAGAATAACAATGGGAGTGTTTGGTTAATGAGGAGCTTTGGATATTTAGCCCCCAGGGATACAGAGAATGCAAATGGTCTGTGTGTGACCACCTCACAAGAGCCCTCCACCAGTCAGGAAGCAGTACACCTGAGACCCCACCCACAGTAAGCCTCAGGCTCTGGAGCCTAGTCACTCACTCAGTGTCTCTACCTTTCCTGAGGACATGTTTTTCACATCCAGGGAAGATGTCAAGCATCATTCTTCAGTGATGCCAACCAGGTAACCTAACTCTCCTTAGTTACCGAATGGAAATGAGGGCAGGTGTTTCACTACAGATTCATCCAGGGGAAGATGTGAAGAAAGCACATGCATGAAATGATTTGAACCAAGTCTGCCAGTAACTCCTACCTGACTGTCTTCTATCTTCCTGACATGTTTCCTCTTATTTTTGCATTAGAGAACTCTCATTCTATCAGCTTTTTAACTCTCTCTACAATAGCAAGGATAATTGTCCCCTTGAGAAGAAAATAGTCTCTTCTCAAGCAGTGTGACTGCTATAAAATTCTCTGACATTTACTTGCTTTCTTGTGATAGTCAAGGATGAGGGTTATCAGCTTCAACTTATGTTCACATTCCTGGTCTTAATACATTTTTTAAAAAAATCTCTGTTGCCAAGCATTGATCTTTGGGGAACAAGGTGGAGTCTGAGACGGACTCATCACACTGCCTCCCTACTCTGTATATTTCTCTTTATAAAATTACCAAATATTTTAAATGATTGTTACAGCATAGATGGTGTAATAATGATACTAAATAAATAAATAAATAAATAAACATCTTCTCAGCCCATTCCTGATTAAATAAATATTTATCCCTTGCTATATCAGCTTCAGGTCTTTTTAAAATTAAATAACCAAATAATAAACATACAAAAGATATCCACTTGGATTTCCCTCCATTCCTCTCTAGCCTTTCTCCTAGATAGTGTTTGTTTCTGATGCTGCTGCTATAAGTCTAGGGACATCACATTTGATCCTCTTGTCTTTCCATCATTTCATTCAGATACATCAACAATATGGAATATAAAAACCAAACAAATATTTCAGAATTCCTTCTCCTGGGACTGACAGAAGATCTGGGACTGCAATCCCTCCTCTTTACCCTGTTTCTGTCCATATATCTGATCACTGTCTTTGGAAACCTACTTATTGTCCTGGCTGTTGGGTCTGACCCCCACCTCCACACTCCCATGTACTTCTTTCTTTCCAATCTCTCCTTCACTGACATCTGTTTCAGCACAACCACGATCCCAAAGATGCTGCTGAACCTCCAAACACAGAATCGTAGCATCACTTACCCAGGTTGCCTCACTCAGGTCTGTTTTGTCCTAGTTTTTGCTGCTCTGGAAAATTTTTTTCTTGCAGCAATGGCCTATGACCGCTACGTGGCCATTTGCCACCCACTGAGGTACCAAATCATCATGAACCCCCGCCTTTGTGGCCTGCTGACTCTACTCTCACTGTTCATTAGCAGTTTGGACGCCCTTCTTCATAGTCTGATGGTGTTGCGCCTGTCTTTCTGCGCACACCCTGAAATCCCCTACTTCTTCTGTGAAGTCATTCAGGTCATCAGGACTGCCTGTTCTGATACCCTCGTCAACAACATCTGCATATATTTTGCAGCCAGCCTACTGGCTGGCATTCCTCTCTCTGGGATCATTTTCTCTTATACTCAGATTGTCTCCTCCATTTTGAAAATGCCATCAATGAGTGGGAAGTATAAAGTTTTTTCCACCTGTGGGTCTCATCTCTCAGTCGTTTTCTTATTTTATGGGACAGCCTTTGGTGCATATATTAGTGCAGGAATTATACACTCCTCCAGAAAGACTGCAGTTGTTTCAATGATGTACACTATGGTCACTCCCATGATGAATCCTTTCATCTATAGCTTAAGAAACAGGGATATGAAAAAAGCCTTAAGAAAAATTGTCAGGAGCATATGTACTATTCAGTGAGTATATTACCTACTTTGGGTTGGGTGTCTAGATTGCATCAAAGTGAAAGAATACAACCCCATGATCTTCTTAAAGGCCTAGATCACATAATGACTAAATGAAATTCAATTTGGTGTTTAAACCTGACTTTGCTTCTTGTGTACTTTGCGATGTTTGACAAATATTTTCAACTCTCTAAGCTCAGACTATTTGCTCAGGTTCCATAGAATCAGAGCCTTAGGGAGTGTTCTTTGTTAACTAACTTTGGAGGAACATTATTAGAATTCAAAAGCATGGAAAGGGGTTGGGTAGGGAAAGAATGTAGGCAAGGCTGTGAGCATAGCTAGAGACAAGCTTCAGCCTGATGTCATGGATAGAGTCATGTGAACGGAAACCCAGTTAGTCCCAGTGAGAGACAGGGGAGCTGAATTTTCATGCCTCAATTGAGTAATTACCAATACATGTCACTGGTAAACTATATGTGTCTAAGTTAAACTATATTATCATAGTTGATTTTTTTATAGAACTTTATATGCCCGGTATTATACTAAGTGTTTGTAGTGGTTGTAAGGTTACCTTCCCAACAGAAAATATACTCTACAGAGTCAGACTAAGACTCTCATGTTCTTTTATTATCTATTATTGACTATACAAAGGCATTCAACTGTGTGGATCATAACAAATTATGGATAATATTGTGAAGAATAGGAATTCCAGAATTCTTAATTGTGCTCATGAGGAAGTGGTACAAAGACCAAGAGGCAGTCATTTGAACAGAACAAAGGGATGCTGCATGGTTTAACATCAAGAAGGGTGTGCATCAGGGTTGTATCCTTTCTCCATAATTTTTCATTTGGTATGCTGAACAAATAATCTGAGAAGATGGGCTATCTGAAAAAGAACACAGCATCATATTGGGGGAAGACTCATTAAAATCTGCCGTATACAGATGACATAACTTTGCTTGCTGAAAGTGAAGATGACTTGCACTTACTGATGAAGATCAAAGATTCAGCATAGATTATATACCTCAACATAAAAAAAAAAAAAAATCCTCACAACTGGATGATTAAGCAACATCATGCTAAATGGAGAAAAGTTTGAAGTTGCCAGGGATTTCATGTTATGTGGATCCATAATCAACACTCATGGAAACAGCAGTCGAGAAATCAAATGTCATATTGAACTGAGCAAATCTGTTGCAAAGAGCAAAGATGTCTCCTTGAAGACTAAGGTGCGCCTGACTCAAGCCATGGTATTTTCATTCATCTCATATGCATGTGAGAGCTAGACAATGAATAAGGGAAACTTAACGCCTTTAAATTGTGCTGTTGGAGAAGAATACTGAAAGTACCATGGACTGCCAAATGCATAAATAAATCTGTCCTGGGAGAAGTGCAACTGAAATGTTCCTTAGAAGTGAGAATGGCCAGACTTTGTCTCACCTACTTTGGTCATATTGTCAGAACAGACTAGTCCCTGGAGAAGGATATCATGCTTGGTAAAGCAGATGGTCACCAAAAAAGGCTAGTACCCTGATGGGATGGATTAACAGTGGCTTCAACGATGGGCTCAATAATAGCAAGGATTGTGACAACGGCACAGGACTGGGAAATGTTTCATTCTGTTGTGTAGTGTCCCTATGAGTTGGAGCCAACTCAACAGCACCTAACAACAACATTGTGTTCCATAAGTTGCCATTATTTATAAGGTTAGTTATTTCTTGCTCTCAAATATTTCCACCACTTCCCTCAGTAGTTTTGTTGGGTATCTTTATCATAATATCTATCAGCAGCTTTTGTTTGTTTTAGTAACATAAACAAATGGAAAAATTTTTAATAGGCAGGGTAGAGAGGTAATGTGTCTGAAGCTTTATTTGCTTTGATTCATTCTCAATGATGTGTTGATGCACCTGCATAGGAAAGCACCATGAATTCTGACTTCCAGCCTCCAGAACTGTGACACAGTAATTGTTCCTCATTTAAATCACCTTATGATACTTTTTATGGAAACCCTAGGGAACTGATATACATGTGAAAATGCCGGTATTTCATTATATTTGTTCTATAAAACTGACAAAGGAATTACAGTCATTCTTTCATCACTTTTATGTATATCCCTACCTGATTTTTTAATTTGTCTTATTTTCTATTGGTTAATATATAAATCTTAATGTATCAATTTTGTGTCCTGTTTGTGCTTTTGAAATTTAATCATATTGCTGGGTGTAGTGGCAATGCATTTTTTTTCAATTCTGTCTATTTTTACATTATGTATGGTGGCATTACAAAGTAGGTATCCTTTCTAAAGCTGATAGCTTTCTACTATGAACAAATCTTGTTTGAATGGTCACATACATGTCTCTGGGAGAAAATAAGAATGAGTTTTATAACTGAGGTGTAATTTGGGTGTGTAGGAGAATACATTTTTGAGGCTTCCAAGGGATTTTCTTAAGTGAATGGACCAATTTAAGCATCCATAAGAAATTCTTGATGATCCATATTTTCACTACATGTTTTCCTTTATTTTCAAGATTGAGTGTCTGTAAAAGATATTTCTTTACTTGACATGTTTTATTATTACTGAAGTTGAGAGACTGTTCACATATATATGGGACTGTTCTCCCTGCTCCTGGAGTCCCTGGTGATGCAAATCCTTACCTCTCAGCAACTAACTGAAATGCTGCTTGTCTGAGTCACCCTCGAGGCCCTTGGGGGACACTGTGGTGATGCAGTTCTAAAAAGCCAGCTACGGAACCCTGTGGAGCACAGTGCTCCTCCGATACATGGGGATTCATCATCACTCGGAGTCCACTTCACTGTAATCAGTGTCTTTTCATTTCTGGTTTTCTCTCGTATTGTTGGGAACCAAGTAAAAGATCCTCAAAAGAACATGACTGCAAGGCACACGTTCTAATTGCAGTGAAGAGATGGCAAGGCCTCTCTTGTGATTGAGTGTTTGCTTTTAGAGATGGCAAGGGTCTCGCTCACTGTTAAATGCTTAATTGGCTATACACCAAAGTATTAAACTTAGATGTTATTCCACTAGTCCATGTTTTTATCTTATTGGGATGTTGCACACTTTGGATCACTGTATCCTAGTTAACATTTATCATGTTACACTCTTTATTACTGAGAAGATTTCTGTGATTGTTTTAATGACCACCTGTTGTCCTGGAGCATGTAGAGGAGTAAAACTTTAGCTCTGTAGAAAATAAGCTGATTGTATGAATTCCAAGACTAATGATGTAATCATGTACAAACATATAAATAAAGTAGAACAAAGGAATCAGCGGTCACTCCCACAGAATATGCAGGGCATCTGCCTGGCCCCTGTCCTTTAGAATAAAAAAGAAAAACCATTAATCTTTTTGTGTCACTTCATTTCGTGACCTGTGCAGTTTTGCCAGACACTGCAATTGGTGCCCAAACAGGTACCTGGAGTGGAGTGGCAGCAGTGCCTTAGAGGGCACCCCACTTGAAGAAAAGAGGAGCTCTGTAACAGAAAAAGGCTAAGTGTGGGTGAATTAAATAAATGTTTTTAAGCCAGGCTGACATGGGGAATTCAGCATCTCATGAAAGAGAAGGTTATATTTCTGTTCTTAAAACATTAGTTAAAGCTAGAGGTTTTCAGTGTCTAAAAAAGAGAGGAATTTTTGCAACGTGTAGATCACTATTGCCCTTGATTTCCTCTGGAAGGAACCATTGATCTAACAGTTTGGGAAACCATCGGTCAACAAATATATGAGCGTTCAAAAGAATGTGGGCCAGAGGATTTTCCACAGCATGTTTTTTTTCTATCTGGAGTATTTAAAAACTGTGTTTAGAATTAGATAAGGGAATAAATGCAGGCATAAAACCTAAAGTAGGAAAGGAGAAAAATGTAGATACAGATTCAAAATTAAAATAGTTAAAATCACAGGAAGAAATAGTTAAACAGAAGTTAGAAACTGAACCCTCAGAAGTTAAGGAAGAGAAGTTATATCCTTCCTTAAATCCATTTTTAAGTCAGGCAAAACCTTTTTAAAATCTGTTTTTAAATCCGACTGTTTGAGCTGCCACCATGCCTGGTAGCACTTGCTCTCTTCTGCTTTTTGACCTTTTCCCTCCCTCAGGAAAGAAAGTTAACTGTTTATCCTCCACCAAGCCTCCTTTATCACCTATATAAGCTATAGTGCAAAAGGCAAGGGTCATGGATGAGGACCTTCCATTAGAATTAAAACATGTTTTTCCCTTAACAGAATACATAAGTCAGCAGACTAATCAACCAATGTGAGGACATAAAGCATTTTCTTTTAAAACTCTTAAAGATTTTAAACAAGCTGCTGCTACCTATGGGCCAACAGCACTGTTTGTAAAAACCTTAAAAGAAACATTGCTCAAGAAGTTTTGTGTCTTTATGATTGGTATATGCTGGCTAAATCTGCATTAGAAGGAGGAGATCATTGATCCAGAGGCTAGGGCTTTTGGCTACACCCAGCCAAAGGCCCAAGGCCATATGCATAGAATGGGATGGTAATCAGGGTGAAGAGATGAATCTGGAGTGTCTTTAAAAGGATTATGTGTTTTGGATTATGTGTTTATCTGAATGTACTATGGCTATTGAATGTTCTCTTACCTGCTTGTACATTAGAAATGATTATAGGGTATATGGATAACAGAGAGTTTGTAAGTCTGCCTTCAGCCAATACTTGATTGGATATGTTCAAAGGGAAAATAGAATTTTCCCAGAAGAAACACAGGCTTTTGTTTCAAATCCTGTGTGCAGAGTATAGGGGGCTTAGGTAGAAAACCTGAAGAACCTGACCCAGTACTACTGAGGGAACAGATTTGCATTTGAATAAGGACCTGAAGAGGGAAAAAAAAATGACTGTTTGGCTCTTTGAATTTCAAGTAAGCAGACTGGTTTTGGGTGTTTCGACACAAGAAAATCATGGTCCATGGGAGAAACCCCTTCCAGGACTGCAAGTTAAAGGAACCCTTTAACAAGTGAGTAGTAACTTGTATGTTACTCGCTTGTGA